GAAATTCTGAATTCTTTCCTTTCAGAGATACTTTATAAAAGAAAGATTATTTTATACTATTTGTAGCGTTTACATGCTCTTGAGGGTAGAGCCCATTCTCTGTCCCCATGGCCCAGCCTGTACAAAGTACTTAATAAAATGTTTAGTGGATGAATGAGGAAACAGACTACAGTGTATTGTGTAGAAGGACCTAATTCCACCTGGGATTTTTGGAGGGAGATGAGCTAATAAGTGAGATATTGGAGGTCTCATCGCAAGGCTTGGTGTCCTGGGAGCTTGGGTCTAACTTTGTAAACATGGGGCTTGGGAAGAATGTTCTGATGCCCAGACGTCCTTTGCTTTCTTAGAGCAGGATCAGGCAGGTTTGGCCAGTCTTACATCTGTTTAGTGTTCTTCACAGAACATTAGAGTCTTGGGGGAACAACACAATGGGCTTTTTAAAATGTGTATTCCCAGGTGCTGCCTGCTGAATCTAAATTGTTGAAGTGGGGGCCCAAGATTCAGTGTTTTGTTACAAGTTACCCAGGTGGTTGTGTTTGTTTTTTAATATATTTTTGTTGATTTCAGAGTGGAAGGGAGAGGGGGAGAGAGATAGAAACATCAATGAGAGAGAATTTTTGATCGGCTGCCTCCTGCATTCCCCACACTGGGGACTGAGCCCACTACCTGGGCATGTGCTCTGACCAGGAATTGAACCATGACCTTCTGGTTCATAGGTCAATGCTCAACCCCTGAGCCACATCAGCTGGGTCCCACAAAAGTTTGAGAAACATTGATGTAGAAAAACTCCATTTTAAAAATAGGGGACCACAGAGGGATTGGGACACATATCAAGTTAGTGAAAGCCATTTTTAAACCCAGTTCTCTTGTCTCCTGGTTTATTGTTCTTGTTGTTCCCCATGTTGCTTAATTTGTTAACAAAAACAATTGTATGCCCATAGCTTTCCAGATAGAGTCCGAACCCCTCTCAAGATCAGGCCTCTGCCTTCCTGGGCAACCTCATCTCTGCCTACTGCTCCACCCACCTTCACTCAGCATTCCAGGCTCACCGAAGGACTTCCAGTTTCTTGGATGAATGAACAGGCAATACAGTCTTTACCCTCTGGTCTTTGCAAATGATACTTCCTGTCCTGGAATGCCTTTCTTCCCCTCGCCACCTGTCAAGCTCCCCTTCATCCTTAGAACAGTTCTCCTGGGAGATTCCTCCCCAAGCCACATGACACGTGTGCCATCTGTGCTGCCATCAGACCCTGTGCATGCATACCTCTCATAGCACTTTCTGTATTGCGGTGCCATGGGTGGTGTGCCTATGGGCAGGTAGATGAATGAAGTCTCAAGCTGCATGAAAAACTGAAGTGATGCTGTCTGAAGTACATACAAAAAATGTTGTGCTAGTTACTGTCATCAATGAGGAGCCTAGGGGAGTTTTGTTCTAAGTGGGGAGTCAGAACAGAAGGGAAAATTTTAACACAATAAAATATTACAAGGGGTGTTGTAAGATAATATATAATTAACTGGTAGATGAGTACACATAATTAACGTGACAGTTATCCAGGGCAGTGCTGGGGGGAGAGGACTTCCTGGAAGAGGAGGCCTTGAATTGGGCTTTAAATAACAGGTAGAATTTGGAGAGGAAAGCAGGCTGTCTAGGCCTTACACTCTCCAAGGATGGTCTCATGTTGACCCAACACAGGGAATCTCCCTCTTGCCCCATCCTCTGGCTGATGACAAATGCAACATGCAGAGCTGACAGTGCCCACAGAGGTTGAGGAAGCAGCCTGCAATGTGGACAGTAGGATGGCCATCTCTCAGGTTGTAGTAAGGATTTAATGTGGTTGTAGATACAAAACACCTTGTAGATACTCAAGACTCAAGAATTTAGCTTAGTCCCTTAGCTTCAAGCCAGCTTAGGTGACCCTAGGTTATGTGAGGTTTGACTTTGTGGACAATTGCAGAAACTATGCAGTATGGAGGACGGAGCCAGGTAGGTTTGAGGTCTAGTCCTAGTTCACCACCCACTAGCAGTGCGAGTTGGGCAGGCCGCCTAACTTCTTTACCTCTATCTCTTGCTCAATAGAGAATAGAACTTGACCCATCTGCCCTAGATTGTCATGAGGGTAGGGAATGATTGCATTGTAGTACTCACTAAACTGTAAAATGCTGCACAAATGTAAGGGGTTATTCTTGAGTTTGTCATATTAGTTGTAGAGGTTCCCTCTCAAAGAGACGTGCTCACATCTTTAAAGACAGGACACTGTTGGACACTCCATGACATTAGATTGCACAGCCCCTGGGAGTGGTGGGTAGAGACTGAGCTGAGGGAATGGGGCTTGTATCTAGGGTTGCCTTTCCTCTGCACAAGGCAGCAGTAAGTAATAAATGTTTTGTTATCTGGAGACCACCCATCTTGCCTCATATACCTTTTATCAAAATTTCCCCCAATAGACTTAGCAGTGCGAGGACACGAGCCATGTCTGAGTCATTTCCGTGTCCCTAGTATCTAACCCAGCCGTGGGCAAACTACGGCCCTCGGGCCGGATCGGGCCCGTTTGAAATGAATAAAACTAAAAAAAAAAAAAAGACCGTACCCTTTTATGTAATGATGTTTACTTTGAATTTATATTAGTTCACACAAACACTCCATCCATGCTTTTGTTCCGGCCCTCCGGTCCAGTTTAAGAACCCATTGTGGCCCTCGAGTCAAAAGGTTTGCCCACCCCTGGTCTAACCCAAGGGAGAAAGCAGCATTAGTAAATGTTTTGGTAATGTTTTTTAAGCCTATCATCACATTTGACTCTCATAATATTTAAATACTTAGTGTTCCTCAAATTATTGCTTATCATACCCATTGTATCATACCCAAAGTAAATGGCAGAACTAAGAGTCAGGAGTCCATGGCTCCTTTATCTTAAATCACTGTTTCTCATTGTGGGAGGTAGTGGGTTTGGTTGGTTGGTTGGTTGGTTGGTTTTGGTTTTAGTTTTTTTTGTTTTTTTTGGGGGGGGGTGCAGTTTCAGCTCAGGAATGGCCAGGGCTGCATGAAGGGCTTCAGGTACTACTTTCACTTCTGCTGACTCTTGGCACTGCTGAGGCTAGGGAATCCTGCAGAGTATCTCTCAGGTACATACTTGCCATGGCACCCAGGCATAGACTTTGCAACATCAAAAAGTCAGAGGTGAGAGCAGAAAGATAACAAAGTGAGGGTTTGTCACTCTCCCTGTGGCTTGGAGGGGAAGCAGGAGCCTAAGCCCATCTTCCCAGTGCTGGAGACAGGCTAGTAGATGTCTTTGTTGGGAAGGGTATGGTTCACTGGCTGAGGACCACCTGTAAACACGGGGCCACAAAATACCACCGTGGTGGCCAGCTGGTGAGCCAGTCTTGAATGAGTCACTTTAGCTTCCGTTGATTTGCGTACTTTTCTTCAGTGGAGGGGGTAAGTGCGTGAGGGTGTGTGCTGTACCTACTTCTCCCCACAACTTTCCACCTTTGAAAGAAAAGAATATGAAATCTAATGAGCTGGGGATTTCAGCAAGATGATGTGGGACAAATTGGGGGAGAGAGATTATTATTGATAAGAGCATGAAACGGGCCTTGCTCGACCACCAGCTGATTGTGGCCCTTCTCAACTTCAGTTCCTTACTTGTAAAATGGGGAGAGTAAACTTACACCTCACAGATTATTCTGAAATAAATAAGTGAAAATATTTTACAGGTTTTAATGTATTACTCAGTTCCAAAGAGTGTTCTGTGGAACACCAGCATTGCAGGATTTTAATAAGGGTTAGGTGGAGAGAGGCTGTCAAAACCAGGAACTGCCGAGTAACACCAAATTGAACAGATGGTTCTTAACCAAGAACTGTGCCTTTCTGAGGGGAATGGTGTGTGCAGGATTCCCCAAATGGACCTCTTTCACAGAGAGAATACACTTTGGAAGCACAAGATTAGACAGTAAGGATAACAGCTGACATTTACTGAGAGGTACTGTATGCCAGGGGCTGCTCCAAGCCCCTTTACTCATAGTGTCTCATTTAACCCTTACAGTATCCCTGGGAGAGTACTGTTATCATCTCCATTTACAGATAAAGAAACTTGGCACAGAGAGGGTAGGTAGTTACCCAATATTACAGTCAGCAAATTCAGGACTGAGATCCAAACATAGGTGGTCTGGCTCCAGAGCTCACCTATTTAACAGCCACACACTAGTGCAGCGGTTCTCAACCTGTGGGTCGCGACCCCTTTGGCGGTTGAACGACCCTTTCACAGGGGTCGCCTAAGACCATCCTGCATATCAGATATTTACATTACGATTCATAACAGTAGCAACATTACAGTTATGAAGTAGCAACGAAAATAATTTTATGGTTGGGTCACAACATGAGGAACTGTATTTAAAGGGCCAGAAGGTTGAGAACCACTGCACTAGTGCCTCCACTAAATACTTGTTGGCTGACATTATCATCCCCAAAACAAGGTAACATCAGAACTTGTTTATGAATTATGTATTTAATTTGCTAGTTCAACAAATATTTATCAAGCACGTATTTATGACCAGATACCGTACTGGGCACTGGGGACACAATTGTGGAGAAGACGGTCACACTTCTGTTTTCACGAGCTTTTTGCCTAGTGGAGAACGTAGTCAAGAAAACAGGTGATTGCAATAGAATGTAATAAATACTTAATCGGAAGATGTCTAAGGTGCTGGGTAGCTCTTAGGAGTAGTAACTGTTTCGAACTTGGAAAGAATCACTAGAAGAACTGATTTCTAATCAGAGGCCTAAAAATGAATTGGAGTTAGCCAACTGAAGGCATGGAAGAGGAGAAGATGTTCCAGGCAGTGGAATGGTAATTGCAAAAGCTCAGAGGCAAAAAAACAAACAAACAAACAAACAAAAACATTAGAAAGGGATGGTGAGAAATGAGACCTCAGAGGTGAGCAAGGGCCCTCCTATAATTTCTTTCTTTCTTTCTTTTTTTTGTGGGGGTCAGAGCTTCTTTATTGGCAGCAGGGGCCATGGGCCAGCTGGGCAGTGTCACCAGTAGAGGTAGTCAGCCTGGATGTTGGCAGCGATCTCGGCCTCCCACTTGTCCCCATTGTTCAGCAGCTTCTCCTTGTTATACAGCAGCTCCTCGTGCGTCTCCGTGGAGAACTCAAAGTTGGGGCCCTCGACAACGGCATCCACAGGGCAGGCCTCCTGGCAGAAGCCACAGTAGATGCACTTGGTCATGTCGATGTCATAGCGAGTGGTCCGGCGGCTGCTATTGGCTCGCGGCTCAGCCTTGATGGTGATGGCCTGGGCCCGGGCAGACAGCCTCGCAAAGCTTGCATGCGATGCAGCACTCCTCCCCGGACGGGTATAGGCGCAGCGCATACTCCCCACGGAAACGTGGGCTCAGCGGGCCCTTCTCAAAGGGGTAGTTTATGGTGGCTGGCTCAGGGTCATGCTCAGTCCTCGGATGAGTTCAGTCCACAGAAGGGTTTGAGCTGCCCGGTCAGTCACTGACTTCATGTCCATCGAGGGCTCTCGCAAGTTCACGTACTTGTAGGTGTCTGCCACTGCACTGCTGTGGAGGCTGCGGGCACTGGGATGCCCTGCACGAACAGCCTGGGCCAGGGCCCGAAGCACTGAGGGTGTAGTCGGGCAGTGCATCTTGAAGCGTTGCCTCTCCTTCCCCTACCAATTGGCCTGCTCGCCGAGAGGCAGAGCCTACCCCCTGGATGCTGCCATTCCCTCCTATGATTTCTTAATAGTCAGGCTATGACAGTGATGGCGAACCTTTTGAGCTCGGCGTGTCAGCATTTTGAAAAACCCTAACTTAACTCTAGTGCCGTGTCACATATAGAAATTTTTTGATATTTGCAACCATAGTAAAACAAAGATTTATATTTTTGATATTTATTTTATACATTTAAATGCCATTTAACAAAGAAAAATCAACCAAAAAAATGAGTTCGCGTGTCACCTCTGACATGCGTGTCATAGGTTCACCATCACTGGGCTATGATGTCAGCACTCTGGTGACATTTGTCTCTGAACTGAATAATCCAGCTGTGTTTCCTAAATTTGTCTGCTTTTTATGGTAAGTACCCTAGGTATGGCTCTATAATTGCACTTGTGAAACATATTATATAATTTGTTCAGTGGTATGATTCTTGCATTAGACTCTTTTTTTTTAAATTAAATCTTTATTGTTCAGATTATTACAGTTGTTCCTCTTTTTTCCCCCCATAGCTCCCCTCCACCCAGTTCCCACCCCACCCGAAGCCCTTACCCCCATCCTCATCCATAGGTGTATGATTTTTGTCCAGTCTCTTCCCGCACCCCCCACACCCCTTTCCCCCCCACTGCCTGAGAATAGTCAGTCCACTCCCTTTCTATGCCTCTGATTCTATTATATTCACCAGTTTATTCTGTTCATCAGATTATTAATTCACTTGATTTTTAGATTCACTTATTGATAGATGTGTATTTGTTGTTCATAATTTGTATCTTTACCTTTTTCTTCTTCTTCCTCTTCTTAAAGGATACCTTTCAGCATTTCATATAATACTGGTTTGGTGGTGATAAACTCCTTTAGCTTTTTCTTATCTGTGAAGCTCTTTATCTGACCTTCAATTCTGAATGATAGCTTTGCTGGATAAGTAATCTTGGTTGTAGGTTCTTACTATTCATCACTTTGAATATTTCTTGCCACTCCCTTCTGGCCTGCATAGTTTCTGTTGAGAAATCAGCTGACAATCGTATGGGTACTCCCTTGTAGGTAACTAACTATTTTTCTCTTGCTGCTTTTAAGATTCTCTCTTTGTCTTTTGCCCTTGGCATTTTAATTATGATATGTCTTGGTGTGGTCCTCTTTGGATTCCTTTTGTTTGGGGTTCTCTGCGCTTCCTGGACTTGTAAGTCTATTTCTTTCACCAGGTAGGGGAAGTTTTCTGTCATTATTTCTTCAAATAGGTTTTCAATATCTTGCTCTCTCTCTTCTGGCACCCCCATAATTCGGGTGTTGGTATGCTTGAAGTTGTCCCAGAGGCTCCTTACACTATCTTCATATTTTTGGATTCTTTTTTCTTTTTGTTTTTCTGGTTGGGTATTTTTTGCTTCTTCGTATTTCAAATCTTTGACTTGATTCTTGCGATCCTCTAGTCTGCTGTTGGAACTCTGTATAATATTCTTTATTTCAGTCAGTGTATGTTTAATTTCTAGTTGGTCCTTTTTCATATCCTCGAGGGTCTCACTAGATTTCTTGAGGGTCTCACTAAATTTATCGGTGGTTTCAAGAAAAGTCTTGAAAAACCTTATAAGCGTGGTTTTGAACTCTATATCCAGTAGTTTGCTTTCCTCCATTTCTGTCATTTGTGACCTGTTTCTTTGTCTCCACATTTTTTTATGCTTCCCTGTGTTGATAGAGTGGCTTTGTGTGCTAGGTGTCCTATAGGGCCCAGTGGCTCAGCCTCCCCAATTACCTGAGGTGGACACTCTTGGTGCACCCCTTTGTGGGCTTTGTGCACAGTCTTCTTGTAGTTAAGCCTTGATTGTTGTAGGTATCACTGGGAGGAATTGACCTCCAGGCCAATTGGCTGTGAGAATCAGCTGTGTCTACAGTGGGAGAACTTCTGTGCTGGAGACACCCTTCTGGAGCAAGACTTGCTTCAGTGGGGCTTTGGTGCTCACTGAGTCTGCCCCCTGAGTGTGTCCCTTATGGATCTGAGGAGTTGTAATCTGGATGGTCCCACTCTGACCACTGGGTACACTGGCTCTTGGATCTCTAAGGAGGTGCTAATTTAGCCTCTGCTTGAGGCTACCCAGCAGGAGCGATGGAGAGATCTGCAGATTGCTCTTCTTTGGGGTTTGGAGGTGCCCAGATGAGGCCAAGCTGTGAAGCAATGCAAGCTGCTGTGGGGCCTTGGGCCTTCTTTTGGAAGTTCTGGGTCTCTGGCTCAGCTGCAGTTTGTTAGGTAATTTTCAGATTGCAAAGGGCCAGGCCCTTTCATATGCAAAAGCCTCTGCTCACAGCTTGGGTGGGGCGGGGTCTCAGGGAATCAACGGGGCGGAGCAAACAGCTATGGCTGATCCTCAGTGCTACCCTAAGAGGCCCCGCGTCTCAGTGTCCCGGTAATCGCTGCAAGCACCTCTGAGAGAAAGCCGCCCTCGAGTTCCAACCGATGCCAGACAGGCCAGTTTCTCCCCGTATGAGTCTAGGTCCCCAGAGACTCGCCCAGAACTGGAGTTCAGAGCAGTCGGGAGCTTGTGTCTCCCTCCAGATTGAAAAAGACAACCGTGTCCTCAGTTGCCAGCCCTTTCCACGTGCACCTCCGTACCTCTGCACTTTACTTCTGCACCTCCTCTGAGACTCAGTGTGCTTTTCTCTTTCCTTCTAGTTGTAGAATTTCCACTCAGCCAGCCTTCCTGTGGTTCTGGATGATGTCCGTTTTGTCTTTTAGTTGTATTTTTGAAGTGGTTGTGCGAGGCAGCAATTTCCAGTGTTTACCTATGCCGCCATCTTGGTTTCCTCGGTTACAGTTCACTTCAGTTGAAGGATACAGACTTAAATAAACCAGTCGCGGGGAAAAGACACACAGAGCAATCTAGAAAAGTACTAAATGTGGAGCTTCTAGTTGCTCTTTTCTCAGGGAGTCAGGTACAGCTTTGCTTCCCCAGTACCGATGCTTGACAGCGTGCACAGAGCATTGCCAGCCGGAGAAGCTTGCTTGAGCTTTGGTGTCCAGTTTGCATTAGACTCTGATTCATTAGTATACCTCCAGCAGCTACCACCATGCATTGGTGCTCATTAAGTGTTGTTTGTTGAATGAATGGTGTGTTTTCTTTGTAAAATGGATTACACCCTTCTTGCTTTCTTGAACCAACTATCACTTTTCTTCAGGTTCATTATTGTGTCCAGCAGTTAATGTCCTATGGGCAATTCAGTGGTGCCCTTAGGGGTTTTTGAGGTGCAGTATTCTGTGGATTTCTTTTTAGCTTTTTATTGTTCTTTTCCCTCCCTGCCTGGCCACCACTTGATTGTAATCAGTCTGCTTGATTATGAAGCCTCCTCCCCAGCTTTATTGTTTTCTTCTCCTAATCTGCAGAGAGCTGGAAACAAAGATCACTTACTATTATTTGATAAGACTGTTTGCCACTAAGAGTTGGTAATCTCTCTGAGTTAGGTCTCTAAAGGGCTCTCTTATGGGAAAAATGCATATGCGACTTGTGTGTTAGCTGCTCAGAGGCCTTCTTCCTGTTCTCCCTACTCCAGGAAAGGTCAGATAACACTCCAGGTGTGGAGGGGAGGAAGTTATCGGTCTGGAAGCCTCTGTGTGGTGCAGAATTGCTGATTGACTATTGAGTCCATAGGCCACAAGAAAGTGTGGTCTAGTCTCAGCTGCATACTCCACCAACTTCATTTTGGCCAAACATTTGAAATACTCCCACCTAAGCTAGCTACAGATCTCAGGCCGTTACCTGTTAAGGCAAGTTCTGCAGAAAGTATGGTGCACCTTCACCTGAGCAGGAAAAGGAGGGAGAATAAGAGTCAAGGCTGGGGCCAGACATCTAGACTCTGAGCTCCTTTCTTTGGGATCTGATTTGCTCATTTGCAAAATTAGGATGCCAGCATGATATGGTGGAGAGAAAGAGTAAAGACTCAGATTAGACATGGGTTCTAATCCTCCCTCAACCACGTACAAGGGCGGGCAAAAGTAGGTTTATAATTGCAAGTACATGAAACACAGATTTTATTCTTGTACTAGTATTTATTAATTATTATGATTTATTTGTATTATAACTCTAAACCTACTTTTGCTCACCCCTGTATTAGCTGTGTGACCTCTGTGTTTCAGTTTTCTCATCTATAAAATGAGAATGATAATACCCACTATATAAGATAGTTATGAGAATTAAATAGATTGTGTGAAGCTACCTTGCCAGGCACAGAGTAGAAAAAGGTCAGTAAATGAGATCTGTTAGTATTAGGAGAAGGCATGACAGTCTTTGGCTTTTTGAACTTTAAATAGGAAGGGAGGGAAAAATGCATGGACACTATTCTAATACCACTTACTTGGAAAAGAATGGTTTAGGAATTGCCTGATGCTTTTAACTACCTAGGCAAGGTTACCTGTTGGCTGAATTACACCCCCTTACCCAGTGGGGGGTGAGAGGAACCTACCTCTTGCAGACCCTGTGCTCTGGGCTAGAGAAGGGGGTTCAGGTAGGTAGGACCCAAATTCCACTCCCAATGAACTCAGTTCAGGAGGGAACATAACAGTTACTCTGATAATTGGGGCAGAAAGAAACCCCATCACCTAAGTATTATAGTTGTTTTATGGGGTCTCAGGTCCCAAGGGAGGACCTCAGAGGTGGGGTAACCTTCCAATTTATTTTCCAGACTGGGACTGTCCAGGACAACAGGCATAAACCAGGTTCGTCCCGGATGTGTGTGGTCACCCAACCCATAGGGTCCTATAAAAGTGACAGAACTGGTTTTAGGTTATTTAATATGAAATTGGAGAGGGAGAGTCATGAATACTAGCACTAGAGTGAGCCTAGGATTTTTGGTTCTTTGATCACATGAAATACTTTTTAATCTTACCTTTAAAAACATGTTCACAGTGCATTTATTAAGGGTAAAAAAGCATATTACAAAATTGCAATGTAGTAAATTCCAATTCTATAGGATATATA